GACGTATCTACGATGTAAATCGTAGCGCACGAGTCTAAGGTACATACACGCGCACGCGCGCGCGGAGGGTATCATCGTGTTTCTTCGGTGTGCTCGGCACAGGCCTGCTGAAAATTATAGGCTCGTCTCTTCCTGCTCTCTATCCGCTGCCGAGGGCCGCTCCACAAAAGCCGCCACGGTCGCGGAAGATTTGTTGAAGGTGGCAGCTTGTCTTCCTGACTTGGCCTCCACCGGGGGACAAGTTCGGTCCCGGCTCTCTTGCTCGGGGTCGACTTCGTTCACGGCACACGTATATTAGGACCGGGGGGAGTTTAAAGCCTGATTTATCGTGACGGACCAGCGTGCCACGCCGAAATGCGAGCGGACGGAACGACGCGAAGCGGCGCGACAAGAGCACGGTGATATGTATGTGTGATCTATAGGTACTAAGTCTATTTCGGATTATCTGACACGAGGACACACGTCGCGTAATGCGTTGACGTCACGAGAACGTCGGGATAATGTTATACTACGTCGACACGGAGCACGTCGTCTCGCGCCATGCAAAGTAATCCTCCTACCAGGATACAGATGCTGTTAGTACCTTCCATGCTTCACGTTGTTTCGACGAAAAAATCGCGCTACCACCGCGACCGCCAGGAGCCCTTTTAAGACTTACACCAACATACGCGAGGTTTAATTTAACACAAAGGTATACTTGATGAATGGGAATGCTAGATAAAATTATCTTGTTACAGTAAATTATACGAGAAAGAGCGTGAAAGAAAATATGATCTCGGACTAACATCAAGTCTTGTTTTACCGTGCATTTCTCTCTAATGAGCGGACACGAGATCGCATCTGCCTCGCAAAGTCCGCGTCTCTCATTTCGCCTGGGTGTTTTCTAATTCGTTAGCCCGACTACCTCCTTTGTCCGGAGATCTCCTCTCGGTTTATCTCCCCGAGCTCGTGAGATCATAGGAGGACATCACATCGGGACCGATCGAAGAAACCGGGACTAAAACTGGAGAAGAAGAAAAGTGACCAATCGAGATCGTCACGAGGTAGAACTTAGGGGAAACAGAGCGATGTGAAGGGATGGCCGTCCCAGGAGATAAAAGTAGGTTTCGGCTGACACTCCGGTTTGCGACGACGACGATGAGTGGGAGAGAAGCTTCTTTTTCGATCGGCGAATTCGACGGAGTGTTTGCTCACTGGTAGAATGTTGGTACTAGATAACTCGCAGAGATAGTGCAATTTAATCAGACTCGGGCTACGCATTTTACTGCGTAACGCTATTTTATACTGACTGCAGTGAAAATACAGTAAGAACAAAAAAGGAAGAAAGGCCTATCTTCTATCTCTAGCGTGATGTCGTAACAGGCGACTATTGTAACGTTTATTTCGTCTTCTGATCGTATATTGAGAAAAGAAGGGGATTGAGTAGATTTTATTTGAGTGATTCATTCGAGGAAATGTTTAGTCAGTTGAACGAATTATATAGTTGCTGTGATAAGTTACATGTCAATTGATTCAATGATTGCGACTTGATCACAGTAACTATGTCAACGCAACTTATTGCTGCACATAACTTATTCAATGGACAACATTTCTTTGAGGGCAGACCGATTGTGTCGATCCAACTTTTTCTCAGTACGGTTTATTTTTTATCGTCTACTTGAATTTATATCCTTTCGTTTATGTCCGAATTATTGGCGAAAGTTCAAATATCGCACATCCACCTGTTTCTCGACGCGTATAACGGCACGATTTTTATTCTCTCGGCATTTCACCCTATCCTTAAAATTTCATGTGAGCACGGGTCATCCGGTTAAAACGGACAAAGGAAACGATATAACAGAGATAAAACAGAGGAGCCAAAAGGAAAGGTCGCAATCGATGAGTGAGCTCGTAGGTTATTCTTTTCTCTTTAGAGGATAGCTTAAGCTCCGTACTTACACGTGACATGAACATGGTAATGCCTGGCCGTTCGACGATGTCAAAAGCTTCCCAGGCGCTGCCTCACGTCACCGTTACTACCATGTTAAACTACGTCTTGAACTCGATATAAACTCCAAAGGTCACCAGGCTTGTTGCAAAGGTAGCAAATCAGTACACGCTCCTATGCCCGCAATACCGCAAGGGACCGCAGCAGTGGCTCGTCAAACCTCGTAATGTTTATTAATGAACTCGAGGCGGACCGGAAAAGTCAGAACAGCGATCCCAATATGACTGACAAAATGTCACGCAAGCGAGATTTCCTTCGTAAGAAGTAGAATCTAAGAAAATGTGACGTAATGTAACGTAATGAAAAAGTTTCTCTCATTTTTCATATGACATTGTGCTAAGTAGATTGCGACTTGCAGAATCTCATTGTAAAAGGAGTAGGAGTTATTGATAGGATTCTGTGGTTTTGTATCGATGTGATCTTCCATAATTTTTATAAAATTAGACATTTAAATATAAATATTATTACATATATGTATGTTCATGTAAACATACGTACGTGTGAAACTTAGATGTTTCAGAAATATGCGTGCGTCATGTGCATCGTCTCGTGTGTCATTTTCGCGATTTAATTGCAGAATATTTCAGGGGATGTTTATTTTCATATTTCATCGAGTTATTCAGAAACTCTTTGTAGCGCGACTTTGGGATAACGAAGGAAAGAGCTGAGTAGGATCGTGTGCTTACCGGCATAACTATCCTCCCCAACTTTCCGTATAGTCAAAGGTACTGCAAATCCGTCTCTGCTTCCAGAGTCATTATGTGATGAACTATACTTTTTAGGCGAGGCTCACGCGACTTTGATGTGTTCTCCTTTTTCGCTACCGCCTCGTGGGCTTGAGATTTCCAAGCTCGCCGAACTACTTGAACTTTATCCCGAAACGTCGGGCTCGTGCTCATTTTGCAGTCTTCTCGTTTATTCGTGGTATCGCGAAGAATTACGGCGATACTGCGCGCAGCTCCCGCCGTCTACTTGGTAATAACGCGAAATTGATTGCGCTTTTATCAACTTTCGAGTCGATTGCGCTGCTGAACGTTTTGATAATTTATTATTGACGATATTGTGCAAACGTTCGCTATTGCAGCGTTGCATAGATAGGTAGTAAACTTATTTATTCAGGGAGTAAGCATATTGCTATAAACAGAAAAGAAAAGGTACTCTAACGAGTATTCTAAATATATTTGTAGCGCAGTTGTTGTGCTTTACAAGCAAGACAGCTCATCGTTAGCTTATTTATAAACTAAATATAACATGTACCTTTCTCTCTCCCTTTCCCCAGTTTATGACAATTTATTGTCCCAGCTTTCCTCTTCCTCTTCCACATCGCGCAAATGGAACAATTGATATTCTACGATTTCCATTTTATCTCGGTAAATTTCTAGAAAATTATGACATTCGCAGTCCCCTCTTTATCCTCACGGATCCTTGATCGCCATCCCGTCGCAACCTGGAGAGAGTCGCACATGTGCATATGAAGCACATAACCCAAGAATTTTTCGATTCGAAGCAATTCCAGGGAAGTCCGTTCGTGCGAGACAAGTAGCTTTACGAGCGATCCAATAGCTATTTTATCACCTTTACTTACATCGGCCGGTCTTCGTGAATTCGGCAGGCGAGACTGTAACGATTGTGCACAAACCGGCGTAAATTTCCTAAATTTGCGGCCTCGTTAATCGTCGGTGTGCCGCAATCAGTCGTTAGATCTTAATTGAGAAGAAGAGGCGACTACAATTAAGGCGCAATGTCGTATTATATATTTTACCGCGTCCCTCCCCTCCGCCATCGATATAATCGAAATCCCCTTGCCGTCACGTGAATTTATAGGCAGTCGTTATGAGATCCGCATTAAATCCAGAAAAGTGAACTCGTTAACTCCTAATTCCTCTTTGACCTGACCCCAATTGTTTCAACGCGGCAAGCCGGTCGGCTGGCCGCGGTATTTATTGCTTGTCCGATAAAAGTTGCAAGTTGCACATAAGAAAGATACGGACAAATTTCTAACTTTACTAACGTAATCATCGCTATATAACATTACGACTAATGGAAACGCAAGAGGTTCTTCTAACATTTTTTTACGCGATCGAAGACGCGTAGCGCTTTCTCTGCTAATGGCAACTGCTACCGCAAAATTAACTTCTATATAAAATTAGTTTTATATATTTTTCTCGAGAGATAGCTGAGTCCCATATAGTACGATCGAGTAATATTTCTGAAGCAAATGGCGTATAATATTCAGAAAAATATAATCTTATCTGGAGCGGAATATGGTCTCTTATACATGATCTCAAGAGGATTCTTCTAAAACCAAAAAGAAATATTCTAAGTTTAATGTTCTTAATAGAAATATCTTCTAATAAGAGAGCATTCTGAAGTGGATATATTCTCTTTGATAAAAAAGATAAAAAAAAATTTAGAATAATATCTAGTAGATTTCCAATTACACGCATTGAGAAAAAACACTTGAAAATTTATTTGTGGGATATATAGTTTATTCCTGTGAATGAACTTTATATCCCACAAATAAATTTTCAAGTATCTTTTTCTCAGAATGTAATAGTTCTTTATTAGAAGATGAATACTTTTTAACTTAGAATACGAAATTATAGGAAGTAGCACTTTGTAGTTAGAGTTTTTTTTCTTCTAGTGTCAGAATATTTTTCTTTTGGTTTTAAAAAAATCCCCTTGAAGTCGTGTGTGAGAGGATTCCGCTAATAATAATATTATATTTTTGGGGGGTAGAATATTCCGAGCCTTTCAATCTTCACTCGGCGCAAAGTAAAAGGCAGAGAATCCATTTAGTCGCGTTTCACCTCCGAGGCCATAACGAAATATCTATTTTACAAGAATCAATGTACGTTTTGAAATTGCATTTTTCCACTCGCTCTCTCCCTTTGCCTCTCGCTTTCTCTTTTCACCTGTCTTTTCCGCTATGCAAGCCACGTACGCCACCACTCAGCCGTAATTTCGTGCACAAACACAACTAATGCATGTGTCTTTTCTTTGCTTGTTTCAGATTACTAACACAACCGAACTCACAACACACTAACCAACTGCGTCTCTCGACAACAAGCATTATGATCTCGTCCAGGACATCATGCCAACGCCCTGAGTCCTGAATGAGAAAACGGTCTGTCGCGCCCTGCGCGATAAAGAACAGGTTGGGGGAACACACCCACCATATCGTTCAATGAATAAATTTTCGCACTACTGAATAAACCTGTGGGTCACCGCGGACCTAACCCGCAGATATATCCCATCGTGAGAATTGATTTGAATCTTTTATTCCTGAAGGGAGGTATGGCAACGCGTTTGAAGTGTTTGAGCGCGCGTTGTCGGGCTGAGCATTCGACACACAGAATTCCCGGACGGAATCTCCCTTCGAGCGTGTTTGCTTAACCCCTCGCAAGTTCTCTCTGATCGTGCTTAATACAAGTTGCGCGTAATATATCCGCGCGAACGCACGAGGTCGTCTCGATAGAGCGCTGGGAGTCCCACAGGCGACAATCAATATTCCGTTTTCATGTTTTGTCGAGCGACGTCGGAGGTATTCGTGAGCTTTTGCGTTGAAACGCAGGAGCTTCTTTCTGCGGAAAAGAAGGATCATGCGTTGAGAACGTCGCGAACGAAAGCGCAGTGAGAGCGGAAGAGAGGGAGAGAGATGCGAGTTTTGTTCGAAATCGCTATCCTTGTAAATTCTGGAGCACTCGGCGTGCATTGCGGAGGTGCAGGTGTATCCGGCCGGAAAGTCCGTTTCTGGTAGCGGTAGACGGAATACGGGAAGCGCGGGAAAAGCAAGAAAATTCGCTGACATCGCGCGCCTGCACGCGCTGTTTCTACCGAGAAATCGATGGTAGCGAACGAACGAAAAAAAGAAAAAAACAAATCCCGTACAATATGCTACTGCATTGTAAAAGTTGCTACTCCAACAGTTATCCGCCAAGTACTGCCTTCACCGAAACGTTAATTAATTTACCGCCTGAAACAACCTCTTCCGCAGAAATCGTGCATATCTCGACACAATTTTACAATATAATAACGTGCGCGACAGGGCACGACCGCGTTACGGTACTTGCATAATAAAATTGAAACGAGCTCCGTTATATCGTGCAAGGTTCACACGGGTGAAGCACGTGACTGGACCTACCTTATGAGAAATCACTTAGTTTCGGAACCTTAACGATGGACACTGTTACGTTGAAAATACAATAAATCGTATAAGGTTTGTGCGAAATTCATATCGTATAACATGGTTGAATTTGTCTCAATATTATCTACAACTTTTGTTACAGAGAATAAAAATCGATTTCCATCTAAGAAACTGAAGGTGATTTTGAGATCACCTTCAAGCTACAAGAGTTACAAAAAATTTTAATAATGCATTGCATAGCAAATTAATGCAAATCATGCAATATTTCCATTGGGATCAATTTTCGCCAAAATCAGTATTTACGGTATTATCGAAGTGGTTCCAGTTATGTTTGGCTTCACCCTTACAATACGCGAGAAAGGCAAGAACGTACTTGACGCGCGCGAAAAAGTCGTGGTAGAGAAGGGCGGGTTTAAAAGCGATGTCGATAAAACGGGGGTAGACGGGGGGAAGGACGGAGGTGCGCGCGAGCCAGGGTGACAACCCAACGAAATGCCTTGCAGAGTTCCACGAGGAAGCCTGCGACTCCGACGGCGTAAACGAGCGGGGCCCTCGGCGCGAGGAAGGGGCTCTGCGGGAAGAGGGCCGCGCGAACGTATCTCTGGGTCCGTCGTGGTGTTGTCCGCCGGGGGTGGCGGTGGCGGAGGGGGTGGAGGAGTTTGCAAGCGCCGTGATTTGGAACGTCGGACGGGTGGCGGTCGCGGTGTTCCCTGTGTTCCCACCATCAGCTCTTCTGTCGCAGGAAGCGCGGGGGGTTGTGGCCCCGTGGTGGGGCTCTCCTCCTACAAAAAGCGCCAAGGTATTCGGGCGTTCCTACCCCCGAAAGCGATCGAAGAATGTCAAGTCGAATGCCTGGCGAGCACGAAAAAGTGACGCGTCGAATCGACTGAAATACTTCACATTTCGAATTAGCGAAAGCGTTACTTGTGTGAATTTAGCGTCTTGAGTCTCTCTGATATATTTACACACTGAATTAAGCAATTTGAGCGAATAATTAGTAGATGGTTTTCGAAAAGATGAAAAATGACTCGTGATAACATTTTTGTTAATTAGCTGGTATTCGACTTACAGTTTTCAATCGGGCTTGGAAGTATCTGGATTAAATTGCGCTAATCTTTTGATGTAGATCGGGTTGTCGCTCGGAAGAGAGTTTAGTGTTTCGCGGAATAAGCTGTTCAATGTTAACGATCAGACGACACGAGAGATTGTGTTGCGACAACGGTCAGTCATATCCTTTCCTATTCACGTGTATCACTTGTGCACGTTTAAAGCTGTCATCGTGAATGACGTGTAATTTTTCTTGAATTTGTATCTCGGTATTCTCATTAATTTCCCGGTTAATTATGCATGCACGGAATACCACGTATACTCGCGTAAAATATTTAAGGACGACAACGTCCTTTAGAACATCCATGAGAGAGTCTGTCGCTGCGCGACGAGTTCTCCTCGTCATTTCGCATACCATAAACTTTTTGCACGCGAAAGTCATAACTCAATTAAAAAGTAAACCGCAATTTTAAGCTCGTGTCATTCTTTATATAATCGAACGATTCGGGTGCTTCGTCTTGAAATAGCTGATCCTGCAAATTGCAAGAACAGAATCTCACGTATTGCAAACCATGAAAGAGTGAAATTCGCGTCCTCTGTAAACGTGGAATGTCATGACGATTACACGGGCAGCCGGCAGTCTTATCCGAAAGCATCCAAGACACACCGTAAATCGAACAATCGGCGTAACTACGCCAATAGCCAAAAAGGGAGAAAGTAGTACTCGGTCCGCGAATTCGCTACATCGAGATCTGACACGTCGTCAACTGTCTCGAAGGCAGTGGCACCGTCTGGGGTCGCGGCAGCCGTGGACGCGGCAGGGGTCGCGGGGGCGGCGCGAACCTCTTGGGTTCCGGCGTCGCCCCCGCGAATTACGCACCAGGACTGCAGGGCGTTGCGCCTGGGCTGCGGGAGGTCGTGAACATCCTCGGCAAGAGGAACCAAGCTGGCACTTTGACGGGCGTAGGCCCGCCGCCGGGAACGCTGGATAACGAGAGCGCGTGCGACGAGGAGGAGGGGACTTCCACCAAGAGACCACCGAGGCCTCTCTACAGGAGATTAATCAACTACGTGAGACAAGCCTGGACCGGCGTCAAGTTCGCCCTAGGTATATTACCCAGATTTATCGATGTGAAAGAGCGAAAAATCGTCGCGCGAGAATGCGTCCCGTCGGGCAGCCTTGTAGCGGGTAGAGGTGCGCATAGTCGGGAAGTTTGCCCCGGAAGAGACGTGTGACGCAGTGCACAACCGCCTGCCTCTCTCTCTCTCTCCTCTCTGTCTCTCGAGTTTATCGCGTTAAGTGGCCCACCGAGAAACGAAGTTGGGGAAAAGGCGGAATGCCTCGCGAGTCGCAAACTCGATGTATATCCCGTGTTACTCGTACGTCCTTTCCTCGAGTAAGCTTGAATAGTGTAGCCCGCGGGAGAGAGGGGGTAATTAAAACTACGACTTATGGCTTCGTTAAGCGGCACGGTTACTTAGAACTCTTTATGCTCCATATTTGTGCCGGCGACGTTACGTGCTAATCAACTGTGTAACGCACGCATATTAACGTGCATCCCGATGAAACTGTGAAAACACAACGGCAACAATCTACGTGCGCGTACGTGCGGCAATAAAAATATCATGATGCGCGAGAGGCAACCGTTTCTTCGTGCGATTTATTCAAGAACCGAGCAGTCTTGCGGGAACAAGGTTCTACGTTTGATCGAACCGGAATATTCGATGCGTCGACGTCACAGTGTCTTACGTGCACACCACTTTCCATCGGAGGACCAATAAAAGCGTGACTAGCGCACTTGTTCGGGAAACATGACGGCCTGCGGGGTTTTCCTTGGCGGTTGAACCAACGCTGCACGCTGGTCACGTGTCTCGCGGAGTATCAATGTTGCATGCTGCTCACTCGCTCCTACTTGTAGGGATGCTCGCTTGTCTTCCACGTACGCAGCTCATTACCCTGTGCCCCTTTTCCAGTCGACCTCGCGCGGATCCGCCAACTCAACTCGAAGCTTCAATTTCAAATTGAATTAGCTGACGTGTTCTCTTGTCGAGATGCACATAACTCCAATAATACCTTCCATTTCCGACTAAAAATCAATAACTCAGTCACATTAAATGCAGTAATAGGGTGCATGTGTTGCATACGCCGTGTAATGTACTACACATGTACAACGCATGCATTTACCATGTTAACGCTGCGTATTTAATATGGCTGAGTTGCTGCTATTCTTCTTAAAATCACTCTCCAAAATACAATCAGTATAATTTTCACTGAAATGTTAACTGGTGATTTAGTTATAAGTATAGTATTGCAATCAGTAAAATCTCCCGCATTGAATTAGTTAATAGTAGCGTCTGTTCTCATTATCAATGCATTTTGCGGACATGGACAATGTAATTACACGCAAGGTGCATGGAAACCGTTAATTCCGTTGTCACAAACGCAGAAACTTGGATTTAATATAATGTATTATATAACAAATTTGTTTATCACAGATTTTGCAGTAGTTTCACTTCCACTGGTCAAAACAGTGAAAAAATAAGACGAAGCAGGAGAGTGGGAGTGCTTTCACTGAAAATTAGTATATTTGCTGGTAATCGGTGAATTAGTCTTTGTATCGATTCAATCAGAGACATTGTCATCAATTCTCTTTAAGAAAGAGCAACAGTAATATAAAAATATATAGACACAATGTGCCTGAGCCAAAATACCTCCGGAAATGAAAGGCATTATTGGAGTTCTGTATAGAGACATTTTCTGCACCACCAACACATGTGTCCGTAATTATTGAAGTTTCGTATAAATTATTGAAGACCTTACGTAAGATTCCACATAACTTTGCTTCGAAACTTATCGTTTACGTGTTTAATTGCGCGAACATTTCACGCGACGATAAATTTGCGCACGGTTGTAATCTATTCTTAACGCACCGTGCACGCTGATTTGCGGTTTCCATTAATGCTTCGAAAATAAAATGGACACGGGTCACGATGTATAATGCATCGAGGTTTTATACGACACACGTACAGTTATGTCGCGTGGAATCGTTTGTTATGCGCATAAACCAGTAGGAATTCGTAATTTATACGCGAATAGTTAACTGTTACCGTGAGAGCCGCCGTGAGAATCCCGATTTTACGCGCGAGGTCGGGCGAGAGCTTTTTCACGGACCTCCGATTTGCACGTATCGATTTAGTATTTGCTTGAGCGTATCGCCAGTCGCCGGTAATTCAAGGAGGGTGAACAAAGGGACTCGGGATCACTTGAGAAGGGCCCGCAGGACGTAACGCACGGCCGACCCAGTTAATTCCTCCGAGCTCGAATTGATTTCTCAAATATTTATACGGTATGCCATTACTATTACTGGCCAGCGGCCATTGTTTCGTGAGTGTTTCACCGTCGCCCAAGGTATTCCTTTCATTACGCAATGCTCGAGGGACGAGACTTCCTAGTGGCCACGCAACATGTATCCTGGCACCTGAGATCTCTGGGTCGTGAGAACGCGTTTCATGAAAATTCATACGGTCCAGATGCGGTTTCGTCCGCAAATTACATTTTCACAAACGGATTTATGAGGGAAATATCTGGAACCAACGTCGTCATCCGTCCGACATATCAGTACGAAGGACGGCGAAATATCGTCCGATAAAACGCGCACATCCCTACGTTCGTTGGCTCATCCTTCCGTCGGCCATGATTTTATTCCATCGCAAGAGAGGATGTTAAAAATAGAGCATTTCTGGCTCTATTTTTCCTGAAAGAACTTGAACTAATCATTAAGAAACTGTTTCTTCTAGAAACAAAAAGTAAATTATTTGTTCACTAGGGAAAGTTCCGAGGAAAGTTATGAAAATATTATTGATCCCATCGAAATAGTCACATGAAGAGTTTTTCTAAGTTTTGCACCCTTGATATATCTTTAAAAGTATAATCAATTATATATTTATGTCCTAAGAGGAGAATAATAAATGTAGATACATTTTTTTGTTCTTATATAATATATACATTGTAGAGATATCTAGGTAAAATGATGAAAAATGTGCTGACAAGTGTGTTGAGTGTGTGCATGTACGCTGATAACCTTCTTGATGACTTTCCTCTGATTTTTTCTCCTTCTTTCTTACCTCTTGAAGTATCTCAAGTGAAGAGTTTGTTAGGTGAAGACTGAAAAATGTAAGTAGTAAATTCTTCCTTTTGGAGATCTCCCTGCATATACAACATATAAATATTGTATAAACCAAAAAAACAGACTTCTCTACAGTTACTTCTCAAGATATAAATGTATAACTAAATTTATTTTAAAAATATGTCAAAGCGTACAAAGCTTAAAAAATACTTTATATGGCTATTTCAATATTCGATAATAAGTCTAGATTTTCATAACTTTCCGTGGACTTAATTGACAAATAATTGTTATTTTTTGTTTTTAGAAGATTCCAGAAACAATTTCCAATGATTAATTAAAGCTCCGTTAATGGTCCAAGAATGGCTTGCTTTTATTATTATTCATAATTTATATTAATAATAACATTCTTTATCCGACCATTGTTATGGGACCATTGTTAAACGGATCCATTAATCATACATTAATTAACGTTAATTAAACGAATACATTAATTATATATTAATGGACAAATTATTGATACTACTTGTTCAAGTAAATAACAAGTGCCGATATGTTTTAATAACAAAGCAAACCGCTCGTTGTACTTATTTGACATACAGGTCCGCCATCAAGAAAAGATTGTGTATAAAGATATAATTTATTTGTTCACGTTTTATTTAAAATTGGCATGCTAAAAAAAGAAAAGTCGCTTAATAACGGAACATTGAAGAATATTGAATTCAAATAGGGGATAAAGCGTATTTAGAGATATATTTGTCTCGTGAATTTGTGGAAAATCCGCTTTAATAATGACTGTCTGAAATATCAGACGCTATTTGTATTAAAGTACAGAAGATACGCACGAAGGATAGATATTCTCGCGGTGCGGATGCGAGCACCATGCTGAGTGCGCTCCGTGTAATCCGGGGCCGCAGCTTACGGTATGCATTAATGCAGACCTGGGTGTAAACATCATTAATAATTGCATCCACGTAGAAACAATTCATCCGTTATTGTAGTGCGATAGTTGGGAGAAGCTAAATCGTAGACATCAGTGTATTACACAATCTGTTTGCAAATTTACATCCGCCGTTTCATCAAGATGCATTTGTGAAATTATAAAAGGAGTAGAGATGTGCGAATCAAGGATTCTTCTACGTCAAATTAAATTGAATCAACGACATTCCATTCGAGACAAACTAAGTCAAATCGTCGAAAAATTCTAAACTACGGTGAGATAATAGTATTTGAATGTGTGATAACACACGTGCTAAATATCTCTTCCAGAGTTGCAGTGTACACGGTGAATCAATCTTTCAACTATCTTGAAACTATCCTCCAGCTATCCTCAAACTGTCCTGAACCCCAATTACTGATATTAGAGCTCTTTTTAATTCTTTAATTCAGTATCTAATCGATTCTTTTTAAGACTCGATAAATAGGAAAGTCCAAATATGACTTGCTCATTATATGTCAATTCTTATTTGTTAGCAAGAAATATGACTTTTCAAGATCGCTACACAATATGTGAGATATGTATTGAATAGTTCAGATTCGAATCAAAAATATTTAATTCGACTCGAATAATTTGCACATCACTATGAAAGAGCAAAGCGAGAAATCATTCTTGTCATGTCCACGACGATTGAATAATATTATCTCACTCTATTATGTTCACTTATTACTCATTTATGATGAATGCCAATTTGCTTCACTATTATTATTCTCGGGTGCAACTGCATTCGAATATTAAACAGCGTACAGTACTGACTGCATTCAGCCTCATGGTAATCGAGGTCTCGTTTAATCGCGATTGCATCCGAACGGAATAAAATGTTGCGGTGAACGATTGAATGATAGAATACACGGACGAAAATCTGGTTGAAATGTCTTGCAGACGCGTTCATTGTCGACGGATTCCTGATAAACTTTCTGAAACTCGGAGATCGGAAAAGAATTTTTTTCCCAGTATATATATATGATGTTAATCGATCATAAGGGG